AAGGAGGAATCTAGACTTTCAGAAAGTCTTTGTCAAGATTCCATACCCAAAGGTTATTTATAAAATTGAGTCACCAAGGATGGGAAGGTTTCGTCATGGGTGGAGGGCGGGTTTAGAAAGAATCAAAGGTAAGGAAGAAATGGAGCAGATAGATATACTCTGTCCTTCTGCATATTTAATATCTCAAGAAAGACAGTCCAGAGGGGACTCGTCTCAGAGATGACATCAAGTTCTTAAGGGTCAACCGAGGAGTATCCACTATAGCAAGACCTCCCAGCGATGTGGGCAGTAAAAGATGTGGGTAAATTTCAGAAGACCAGGATTGTCAAGGGGGCCATAAGAAGATGGACCCCAAACCCTCGGTCAGAACCAGAGAAAAGATCTGGGATCCAGGCTCTACCCTAAAGACCCTCCCAAGGAACCTTTCTGGCCAAAAAGCCCAGAATAGCCAGTGATTCCTGCCCCTGCATCCACCTTGCACAAAAGCATAAGACTTTTGGAAGGAGTCACAGTGTTGCAGGGGTGTAGGCTGGAGGTAGATAATGGAGAAGAAGAGGAAATAGAAGAAATAAAAGAATTAGAGCCAAATTTTGAAACAACAGAGGCTGAGCTGAGCTGAGCCATGGACAAAAGCACCACCATTTTACCCGGAAATGACTGGAAGGGATCCAAAGGACTCATGTGCCACAGCCCATGATGCTAATTCAAGGGGCACCCTTGGAACCTGGAAAAGGTTTTGGTCTTTCCTTTGAGCTTGCTTTCTTTTCATGGCCATAAAGAGAAGCACTACTTTGCACAGTAACACTTGTTTCTCTTGGTAAGCAGGCAGAATGTTCTCAGGTTCAAGAAGTAAGCAAGAGTTTTCTTAACAAACGGAGGTAGAGAGTCTCCCATCCTGAAAGTGTGGCCCATCAGGGTGGTAAAGGCCTCAAGAACCTAGAGATCTGAAGTAGAAATGTAACCGCAACTAGGCTTTCCAACACTGAGTTTCCACGAGTTGAAGTTCACAAATGACTAACTCTTGGGGGTTATTAATGAATATATGGAATATTTTTCCCTTAACCTAGGAGGTATGATTAAGGAGAACAACTGTTGGAGGCATCTGGGTAGCTCAGTTGGTTAAGCAGATGAGCATCTGGCTCTTGGTTTTGGCTTAGGTCATGATCTCAGGGTTGTGAGATCAAACCCCAAGTAGGGGTAGGACTCTGCACTCAGCACATAGTCTGTTTGGGGTTTTCTCTTTCTCCCTCTCTCTCTGACTGTGGATGCTCTCTCTCTCTCTCTCTCTGGTAAGTAAATAAGTAAAATCTTAAAAAAAAAAAAAAAAAAAAAGGACAATTGGGTCTGCTCACTGAAACCTGGAGCTCTATAGGCCATAGGGCAAGGCTGGAAGCATAGCTTATGCTCTTGTGTGGGTAGGGCCCCATGTCACACTAAAGGGGTTATCTGGGAAAGCTAAGCAGGCAGTGTGCCTGGCCTCCCCTTCCTTGGTTTCCCCACATTTTTGTTGTTGCTAGGCAAACTTCCTTTTTTATTTTTTGAAGAACTGAAGAATCCTACAAGCCTCCAAAATACACATACTTGAGTCCAGATACTCATCCATGCCATACTCGGACCCTTCCTGTCCAAGGCCAGACTGCTTCACCCCACCAAAAGGGCACTCCACAGAGGAGATCAGTCCTTCATCAACACCAAGCATGCCAACTTCCAGCTGCTCAGACACTCTGCAGATCTGGTCCCGGTCTGTCCCTACCTCGAGTCTAAGCTCAGGGAAGAATACACCAGAGAGGGAGAGTAGCGGCTTACTTACTCTCACAGGCACATAGGTACACAGAGTATATCCATATCTTCCCACTCAGACACAGACAGGCCAGGACTCAAGAACCACAAACATATACAAACAATCACGTGTCCAGGCACACTGGTCCACACAGGCACACCCACATACACTCGGGCACTCTGACCCTGCCCTGGGCAGAGACACAGACTGGGGGCAGGGCACTCTGCCTGCCCCATCGCTTGTTGACTTTCCATTTAATCTGTAACTTTTCCTTGCTCAGCCTTGCTTAGCAGGCAGACTGAGGATCCACCCCAGGATCCACCCCTAGACACTGGGTTTGGGAGGGTGAGGGTCATCGTAGCCTTGGGCCTCTGAAAAATGTTAACCTTCCACTCTCCAAAGCTGGCTAAATTCTTGCTACTTCCCCGCTCATTCAGGAATTCCATCCCTCTGGTCGTGCTCACCCAGGTGGGGCCCTCAATCCCTGTGGGTCCCCCCAGAGTCAGACCTAGCCCCCTGAAAGATCTGACTTTCGGACTTCCAAAAGGCTTATTTAGGGGGTGGGACTTCCAAGGTGGGCCAGGTCATCTCCTCCAGCCCCTGCGTGGAGCTAGGCCAACAACATGCAACCACAGTGCAAACCTTGGTCTTTGCTCTAGCAACCAAGGGTAAGGCGCCCAGACAGAGAAAAGACTTCACAGCTTTGGCACCACTGACTGAAAAGTTCATGGTCAAAGCTAGAGGATTTCCTCTTTCTCAAACTTGATTCCAACCCCATGATTCCTCCTCAACTCCAGCCCCCATCCCCTTCAAGACACCCAGGGTGAGGCTGTGACGTAGGTGGGCCCAGCCACCCAGACACAGGCTTTTCAGCTCATCCCCCTACCCTGCAAGAAAGGCTTTTTCTTTCTTCCCCTGGACTCTCCCTAGAGAAACCAAGATCACCCATCCCAGGTACCCAGCCCTTACTTCAAGGTCAAGTTCAGAGGGCATCCCCTTCACCATCATGCCACGCTGCTTGCCTCAGACTGAAGGAAAGCTGATCTATTCTTCCCATGTTTACAGCAGCAAAAAGGACCAAGTTCCTCCCCACCCCCTCAACAACTCTGAATCTCCCCCTACTTTGCTCAGTTGCCCTAATGTCCCTCAAAAATCCCAGCATCAGAGGAGGATTTAAGTTTGGACCAAAATCTTCTCAGCTTCTTCTTCTTCTTCACCATCCTCATCATGGCTCTAACTGATGAAGCTCTTACTCCATGCCAGACACCCCAAGCCTGTGAGGCAGGTCCCGTTGTCATCTCTATTTTACAGATGAGGAAGTGCAGCAGCCTGGGTGGAGGGGAAGGAGGACAGACTTATCCCTGCAGCTCCTATGTCTTTAAATGGAAAGACTCCTGACACCCGAGGCACCAATAATTCTGGCTTTGCCAATACTAAAGAAAAAATCTTAAGCAGCCATGCTCCTCCCCCTACCTCCCCCAAGGCGCAGAACTTCTGGGAAGGCCCTGTTCCCATGACATGACTGGATTCCCAGTACTGAAGTAAGGGGGACAATATTTGCTGTGTTGACTAAAAATTAACCCAGTCTGTCTGTGCCCTATCCCTGTCCCAGAGAGACCCAAGAGCACAGTTTAGGAGCTCCCCCATCCAAACACCGATCTTCGTACTGTCCACTCCCCCAGATTCCATGAGTCAAGGGTCAGCCCACTGATGCAGAATTGTGGACTTCTGATGCACACGTCCCTTCCCACCCCCACCTCTGGGGGCCTGAGCAGTGTTAACCCACAACATTTCCTGGCTCAGAAAGCTGGGACAGGAGGGCTATGGAGAGGTTAGGCTTAAGATGGAAGGAGGAAACCTGCTCCTGGGGCAAATAGTAAGCAGCTGGACATAGCAGGCCAAGGGAAGGGACATGCCAAGTGATTGTCTGCCCCCAGTCACCTGCTGAAGCTTAGCTCTAAGAGGAAAAGGCAGAAAGAAGAGCCTGATACTCTCTGCCAAACTATTCCCAAGGTAAGAGGGTCCAAGTCTTGGGACCTAGGAGGGACACTGGCCTATTGACAGTGAAAGGTTGGACAGAATAGTGGGGATAAGGCCTGAGCTCTGGCCATCTTGTCACACCAGAGACCCTGCAGGGCTGTTGCACAACTCTAGGGGGCACCTTTCACATGGTGCAGGGGATGCTTCTGTGATGACTAGGAGGTGAGAAGGCACGGACACAGCTTGCCGAGTAGGTACCAAGTTTTCCCCAGGGTTCTCCAGGCTTGCCCTTTCCCTCTCCAGATCTTCGCATACCCTGCATGGGTGGAGGACAGGCAAGGAGGGAGGGAGTGGGCATTAGAGACCTGGACCCTGTAATCCCAAGGGGACATAAAGACCAATTCACATGATGTCCACAGGGCAATCACAAACTTCATACCATTTCCCCCAAAGCCCCTAGGGGATTAGATTTTCCCCCACTACAAGATGAGGTGCTCCTGCTCAGCCAGGGAGGAAGGGGTACTCAAGACCCTCTGAGAGCTCTTCTGTCCTGAGTTCAAGTCAGTGAGAGAGGAGAAGCACCCATTCTAATCTGGTGCCAGATACATACGCACTGGCCAGTGGAGGATGGAGAAAAGAGGTCCCATTATACTCAGGGAGCCAAGGGTTCAGCCCTCACTCCCAGTCTGGTCTGGTACCAATTCCCCTCCTCTTCCACTCACACCGGCATCTATGCCCCAGGATCAGTGCCTTACTCCCTCAGGACCAGCCCCCCTGCCCCCACCCCCTAATCCCCTACCCCCGCTTCCCAGATGTGTCGGGTGCCAGGCTGGCATTTCTCCTAGAATGTTTTCTGCTGACCCATCTCTCACTGCCTAAGGACAGGAAGGGCAGAGAGGCCTGAGGCCCAGACCCCTGGGGTCCACCTCCTTCCTGTTTTCCCTGCATCCTGCTTTCCTCCACTAACAAGCTGCAGAAGATTTGAGGAAGTGGAACGGGTCTGGGACCCGAGGCAGGAAGCTTGGGGCCGGAGTCCCAGCATCCGGACTGCAACAATGGAAGCTTCAAGCACCAGGAAAAGAGACAGACACAGACAGAGGCACAGGGAGAGCAAAACAGTCAGAGAGGGAACAAGAAACAGAGGCAGAGATACAGAAAAGCAGAGAGAGAGAATCCAAAAGTAACAGAAAGATAGGAACAAAGACAGAAAGAGAAACAGTGACAGACACAAAGAGAAAGAGCAACAGAAAGGGGCTGAGGAGAAAGTGAGAGAAGCAGGACAACAGAAGCAGAAAGGGAACAAGATAGAGAAAGAGAAACTGATAACAGGCAGAAGACATCGAGGAAAGGAGAACTCAGGCGTGTTGGTAGTGAAACTAGAGACTGAGAGATGTAGCAGGAAATAAAAGAATACGAAAGACTGAGAACGATTATAAGGAGAAACTGAGAGGCTCACTGAAAAATGGAAAAAGAGAAAGTGTAAGAATGAGTTTAGAGCAAAGGGCCTTCTAATCCTCTCCCTCTCTCCCCCTCTTCCTCTCCCACCTCCCCCCTCTCCCTCTCTCTCCCCCTCTTTCTCCTTTCTCTACTCCCTATCCCACACCGTTAGGTTTCTACAGCTCTGGGATGGGAGCCAAGACTTGCTTCTCTTCCGCCACCTCAGATGACACCTGCCAGGGGAGAGGAGCGGGGTGCCCATATACCAGAGCAGGATGAGGTGCCCAGGCCTGGCAGAGAGACCTCTGTCTTCCAAATACCTCTCAAACAGCTGGGTGAGCTGCCTAGGGGCTTTGGGGAGGGGCAACTCTGATGCCCCCCACCACCAAAGCCCCTCTGATTTGCATGTCCCATTCCACCCCAACCCACCTCAATGTCAAAAGGCCAAGCCCTGGCTTCTTAGACCTCTCGGGTTTCAACTGTGGCCAGGATGAGGGACATTCCAGGATCAGGAACAAAAAGCCACCACCACTGCCATCCCCATCCTCTAGTTATCTGACCCCAAGCCGCTCACTTGCAGGCTGCTGGCTGGACCAGGTCAGGCTACGTTCCACTCCTGCACCAGCAGCCAGGACTACCACCGAGACTTCTCTTCCCAAATAGGCACCCTTGGGAGGTTTGAGATGGAGGGCTGGGACAGTCTTCCTTGCTGGTGGCAACAGGCTGCTAGGGACTCGACAGCAGTTTCCCTGGGTGAGCCTGTCCCATGCCATTCCAGCCCTGCCAGGTACCTGTCTCCTTAACTCACGAAAGATTTTCAAGGGCTTTCCGGGCCAGCTTGAAAGGGGAAGGAGGTCTAGGAGAGGAGAACACCAGGTAGGGCACGCAAGGACAGGGGCACCTTACCAGAGGGCTGCAGGCTTTCCTGGATGGCCTCGATCTCCGCCAGCTCCATGCACACGCCCTGCCCGTGCATCAGCGTGTGCAGGGGCTTCTCCACACCCCGGGGCGGGTAGCAGCGCAGGCCCGAGCCGCATCGAGGGGTATACACCCCGCAGGGCATCCCCTTGCCCAGGGCGCAAGTGGCGCAACAGCCGCAGCCAGGCTCCCGCACCAGCTCCTCGCAGCCCACGGGGGGGCGGCAGCGCGCCAGCTTCTCCTCGGAGCAGGGCGGGCAGTGGATGGCTTCGTCGCCCAGGCTCGGCCCGGGCCCGGCGGCCAGCAGCAGCGCGGCCACGAGGCAGAGGGGCAGCATGACCGAGCTAGGACGGGGGCGCGGGCGCTGGGCGCGGATGCTGAGAACGCGCGCGCAGACTGGCAGCAGGGACCCAGGGAGACAGCGCCTGGCGCGCCTGGAGGACCCGACCCGGAGGGCGCGGGGAGACGGGGCGGCCCCGCGGGCGGACAGGGACCGAGCCAGGGAAGTTAGCAAGCGGACCGGAGGGGAGCGAGCCTGGCCGCCGAGGCGCTGCGCCGCATCCTCGGCCGGGCCCAGGCGGCAGGCGGCTGGCGGCGGGGCGGGGGGGGGGCAGGGGGCTGAGCGGCTGCCCGGGACCGGCTCCCCCGGACTTTATACCGGCCCCTGGCCACACCCCCAGCGCCTTCCCAGAGGTGGGGGAGCGGGGGCGCTGGGGGGAGAGGGAGAGGCGGCCGTTAGGGGGAGGGGGCGCTGTCCTGAGTCGTCGCCGCCGCCGCCGCCGCCGCTACAACATCTGAAAGTCCTTTTCTGCCGCAGAAGGAAGCGGAGCAGTTTGGAAGCCGTGGCAGGCGCCGAGAGCGCCTCTGAACCGGAGCCTGGGAGGGGAGAGAAAGGAGAGGAGACGCCAAGGGGCTGCTCTTTGGCCCCCTCCTCCGACCTTGGAGGATTCCTCCCCTTCCCCGCCAAGGCGGCTGCAGCCCCATCCCCCCGCCCTCCAAGAACGCGACCTCCTCCTAGCCCAGACTCCCGGCTCCGCGATTCAGTCTCCCGGGCCAGAGTCCTTTCCACCCCACCCTAGTGCTTCCAGTCCCAACCACTGGAGACCAAGTCGGGTGAAGCGGGGAAAGGGAAGCAAGCACCCAACGAGGGACCCAGAAGGGCCTCATGGCCCTAAGAAGTTAGTAAGCTCTCTTCCCACTTGCCCTTCCAACTCCCCGCCCCGGCCGCGCGCGCCGGATCTCCCCTGGGTCTCATCTGGGTCCTGATCCGCTCTACCTTCCTGGGAACTGAATCCACTGAACTCCTGGAGAAGGAGGTGTCCAGCCTCTTCTTCCTCCAGGATGCTTGCTTCTACTGCCCGACTCCTTCCCCAGAGGAGGACTGGCTGGGGAGATTGCCACTCTCAGTGTGCAAATTGTGCATAGCACAACTCCAGGGGGCAACATTTCTCTTGTGGGCATTGTATGTTTGTGTAGCTGTTATGACAGTTTTCCAGCAGAGGGCAGTCAAGCATTTCGAGGAAGGGGTGCCTTCTAATTCAGCCAGCATTGTGTGTGGGGCTGGCTAGGCCCTCTGTGAGATCCTACTGGTGCCTGTTTCCCTCACCCTTCCCTCAGTCCTGCTGCGATCCGGAGAGACCCTGGAGTAACATTTGAGCAGAGACCCATCTCCTAGGTTCTCTCTCTGGTCCCCCAGGTACTCACCCGTCCTCCCCCACAAAGGCTTCTCCTGTCCTGGACCTGGTTTCAGGGTAAGAGTGCCTGTCAGGGCACAATCAGTGACCCACTGTGGACTTTTTTAAAATTTTTTTGGCTTGGCTTGGCTTGGCTTGGTTTGGCCTGACTTAGCCTAGAAAGCAGCAAGGCAGCCAAGCCAAGTGCAGATCAGAGACTGTTTTCCTGCTTCCTACTTCCTTTCCCAAGGCAGCAGTCTTTCATTTCAGTCTCACAGCAGTTAGGCCCTCTCCTACTTTCTCCAAGTGTAGACTGTCCAGGTGATAGAAGGAAGAGAGGAGCTGGAAGCTGAACTTGCCTGGACAGAACCAAAAAGTTGCAAACTGACGGCACCTACTGGCAATCATCAAGACTGCAGAAGGTCTGGAGAGCTCTGGCAGGGGACAAGATTGTACAATTCTCTCCCTACCATCTCACAGACATATTGGGGTCTCTTCTGTATTGGAGCACAACAAAGAGAGCCTGGATCCTCATGTCCCTGGGAGAAGCCCAGCCTGTCCCTGATTCAGAAAACTTCCCCCAGCCCTATCCCCCTCAATCATCTCGAACCCAGTTCTGCCACCAACTTATTGTATGAAGTTGGACACCTCTCCTTGGTGAGTTTGGATGTCCCTAACTATAAAATAGAGGTCGGTCATCTCCACCTATTCTGCCTCTTAAAGCTCTTATGAGAGTAAAATGGGATCAGAAAGGACAGTTCTGATACCAATGCCAGACTTGCCTCATAGACAGCAAACTTGGGAGAGCTAAAGACACTGGGATGTGGAGGAAGGCGTGCAGAAGAGGCTGGACTCAGAGCAAAAAAGTACCTGAGGTGAAGCATGAGTGCAGGTGTGAGAAATCCAGAAAGGTGTCCAGGTGAGACAGGTGCCCAGACCTCTACCCCAGCATCCCCCATCCATCTGCTGGTCCCCACCCACCACCCAACAGCACCGTCTGGATTAATTTCAAGGAAGCAGAAAAATAGATATAAGTAGGCCATCCAAGCACCTCCCCATCATTCGTGCAACACATATTTACTGGACAGTGATTTGCGCAGGCTTTGTGCTACATACTGAGGACACAGAGATGACCAAGATCACTCTCTGCCTTCAAGGAGCTCACTGCCTAGTGAGGGGGGAGAGGCATATAAATAAAATGAACCTAAGAAGTGTGCAGGTGCCCTGGGAGACATTCGTGTGGGGCACCCTGGGGACCCAGACGCATAAGTGGTCAGTTCTACAACCAAGGCATGGAAAAGCTTCACAGATAAGGCGACTCATGAGCCAACCATCTGCCACACTAGAGTAAAAAGCACCAGTATTAGCATTAGGCTGACTTGGATTCTAATCCCAGCTTTGTCACTGGACTCACTGGGGAATCTGAAACAAGTTACTCTGAGCTCACTGTTCTTACCTGGAAAATGGGGCTTTGTGATAAGAAAGATAAAAGCATAAGGAGGGGAGAGAGAGAAAGACTGGATTGTGCAAATTGTCCAGCCTACAGGGGGCACTGAGTGTTTGCTCCTTCCTATCAGCCACCCTGCTGGAAACTAAGGACCTTTGTCATCCGGCACCACCCCCGCCCCCCAGCCCCGGCAGACTGGAGGCTCTCAGAGGACTAGGTTTAGTGTCCTCCTTGGGCTTGCTGGTGTCTGGGGATAGGCTACATAAAGGGCACAGGATTTGGAGTAAGAAGACCTGGGTTCAAGTTGTAGCACAGCCGCTTAAGAGCTGTGTGACCTTGGATACACACTTAATGTCTGGAAGGGTCATTTCATCCTCTATTTTAAAAAGAGAAAAAAAAATTCTGCATTCAGTTCTTCTGTGTTTTTTACATGCTCCTGAAACAAAGATATAACTTAGAAAATTAACCTTAAAAACATACAATAAAAATAAGAAAAGAAAGAGGTAATTGGGCTTACCCCACAGGATGATTGCAAGAGAAAATGAGATAATGGATAAGAAAGGGTTCTGGAACCCAAGAAATGGGGTACAGAGGCTGCTCATTGATTTTCTCCAACTGATTGCTGCTTCCTTGAGGACCGAGAGCACCTCCAAGAGCCCCGGAGACAGAAACATCGCCTTCCTTCCCTGTCATCTTTTCCAGCCCAGGGCTCTACCAGAAAAGGAACCTGTTTGGGGCACTGGGGTGGCTCAGTTGGAAGATCATGCAATTCTTGATTTTGGGATTGTGAGTTCCAGCCTCACATTGGATTACTGAAAAATAAAATAAACTTTTTAAAAAGAAAAAGAACCCCTGCCTCCCTCTCGCATCCTTGTCTGTCCCTAAGCTCCTGGGTATTCAGGATGCCAGGAAGATGCTACGGATGGAGAAGTGAGAATGATCCCCACTCCCCGCCCACTTCTTCCAGCCCACAATCTCCTTGGCTTGTTGCTCAGAGTCTAATTAGGCTCCTTGTTGGTTCAGTTTCAAAACTCTACTGCATTCAGGATGGGCTTCTTAGAGAAATGACAGTCCTGCCTTCAGGGTACCCCCAATCTCATGGGCTTGTCCTATAGAGTGTCTTGTCTGATGGAGTAGGCAAAATGCATATAATGAAGGTTAACACTTAATGAGCATGAGTCATGTGCTAGACATGTTTTCAAGTGCTTCACGAGTGCACTTCACAACAATCTCATGAAGTAGGGGCTATCATTATCCCCTTTTTAAGACAGGGAAACTAAGGCACAGAAAGATATGTAACTTACTTAAGTCACACAGCAAATAAGTCAAAGAACAGGGTTCTGAACCCCGCCAGTCCGGCTCTAGAGTTTATATGATAAACCTTTGTGTTTCACAGCCTTCCGAAATAGCTGTCAGAAATATCCTAAACAAATGCCAAGGGCAAAAGACTATTGTAGAGAGTGCAAGATGGGTGTAGGGGGTCAGAGTGGAGGAGGCGGTAGCAGAGAAATAGGCCCCAGACCTCCCCATACCTTTGGCTTCCCAGCCCCTCCCTGGTTGCCCTGGACTTCCCACAGTGCCCAAACTGAGTAGGGGGCTCAACTCCCCTCCATGTCTGCTGATGTCCAGACCCCAGGGAGAACATCCTTACAGTCACTCCAGGTGTGAGCTGAGCAATGACCCATCAGTACAGCTGCCTCCTTGTGCACCAGGGCCCCATACTTGGAGAGATCAGATCAAGAGAGCTAGAGTCTCCGTAGAGACCCCATAGTGCAGAGGGAAATCTGGTTCAGGAGCTAGAGACTGGGTCCTTTCCTCAGGACATGTGGCTCCAGAAATGAACGCCCAGACAGAGGATGCAGAAGGAAGAGGAGAGCCCATCTGTAGTTGGATTGGCCAGGATTCAGTTTCTTATCTCCAATCCAACCAGCTCCACTACTTGCCAGCTTTCTGACCACTTCCCCTTCCTCAGCTTCAGTTTTCCATCTGTAAAATGGGGGAGGGGAACACATTGAATTGGGAACCCCCTTCCAGCTTGGGCAGTTGAGGAATCTAGAACCTCTGGAATCTTTGCACGGTCCTAGACCCCAGGCCAATCATGGCTCCCAACACTCCAGAGTTTGCACCAAGCCAATTGGCACCCGTGGAATCACTTTCTCATTAACTCATCAGCCAAAGCCTGTGTAGGAGGCAAGTCAAGGGAATGATGTTGGGTCCTTTGAGAGTTCTGTTCTGTCACTTCACCAAAGGGCACACAGCTAGTAATTAATAGAACCAAGATTTAAGTCAAATATATTTACTACCTGCTACAGACTTAGTGCCCTGAGCCAGGCTGCCTCTGCTGCCAGAGAATTTCCAGTGAGCCATGGGCTAAGGGCTCAAGGAAGGCGAAAGTGGGAGGAGAGGGAAGTACAACCTGGGAGGATCCATACAGACGACACTTGCAAAAGGAGGAGGGTGACAGATGTTAGAAAGCCACCCCTGACAACTGTTGAATAAAAGAACAGCATACCTGTTTGCCAGGGTGCCTCTTGGCCTGACAGATCAGAAGCCCAGAATCAGAGTAGACCCCAGGTCCTTCTCCCACATTCTCTGGAGGGCCACTAGGTCCTGCCTTCTACTCCCCCAACCATGGAAAACAAAGTGTTACCTACCTCTTACCTACTTCTTAGAAAACTCCCAAGAGACTCTACTAAGGGACTGCTGAACCCAGAGCGACCCCTTAAATGGGCTCTAAGCTTAGAGAGACCCCACAGACTCCTCTGACTTAGTAAAAACCCCAGAAAGAGGTCTTGGGATCCGGAAAAATCCCCAACATCCATACACACGTGGGCTCATATTCCCTGGCTACACAATTCCTCTCTCTACACCAGCACTAAAAATTCACAAATATCCACTGTCGTGCCTTCTCTATATTCCCAGACCTCTCTTCTGGTCCTCTCATCCATGCCAAGAGCCAGAATCTCTTCACACCCTTCTTTATGCCTCATCCTTTCTGTCCTACCATCCCTGCCCACTTCACCCCACCCTTCCTCTTTTCCTTACCCAGGAGAACATCCTGACCTGAGGGCCTCCCAAACTTGGTGGGAACCAGGCATCCCAACCCTACTGGGGAAAGTGGGGAAGGGGCCTCCAGGAAAGGTGAGTGGATCGTGAAAGAGGAAGGGGAAAGGAGCAACTGTGGCCTCCATTCCTCATCTGCAAAATAGGAATGATACCTGCACTCCTTGGGGGTGTCATGACAATCTTACAGAGTGCTTGCTTTCACCTCATTTAATAAATAGATATGGAAAAACATACTGAGATACCACTTTATAGCCACCAGATTGGTAAAAATTTTAAGTACTGACAGTGCCAAGTATGAAATAAGGGACTCTCATATAATGCCAGTAAGAAAACAAAGTTGTACAACTGCTTGAGAGCAACCAACAATTCTACCCTGAGATATATACCCACTAGAAATGTACGTGTGTGTGTGCATGTTTGTATTCCAAAACACATATACAGTGGTCATAGCAGCATTATTCAGAATAGCCAAACACTGGGATCAACAGTGGAATGGATAAATCTATAGTTGAATAAACTATTGCTCTACCAACAACATAGAGGAATCACAAAGCAAGCAAAAGATTGCTAGTGTAGGATTGTCTTTCCATAGAATTCAAAAACAGGAAAACTAAGCTATGGTTCAGAAATCACGATAGGGGTTACTTTTGGGGAGAATGGAAGTTACTAGAAAGGGCCTCATGGGGTACAGGTGATGTTTATTATTTAGTTACATAGTATATTCACCATACGAACATTCATTGAGCTAAACATTTCTTATTTCTGCACTCTTCTGTATGTACTTTCATTTTTAACTTTAATTATTTTAAAGATCTTATTTACTTATTTATTTATCTATTTATTTGAAAGAGAGAGAGTGAGAGAGCACAAGCGGGGGAGCAGCAGAGAGAGAGGGATAAGCAGGCTCCCCATAAAGCCAGACGAGGGGTTCCATCCCAAGATCCCGGAAATCATGACCTGAGCTGAAGGCAGACACTTAATCAACTGAGCCACCCAGGCGCCCTTTAATTTTTTTAAGAAAAAACTTCTTTGTTTATTTTTTTAAAGACTGCTGGCATTCAAGTAGCCTGCCTGGACTGGATTCTTGGCAGTAGGTTTAGGCTAAGTTAGTACACCTCTCCATGCCTCAG